TGTCGGTAATGCCCAGCAGCCTGGTCTTTTGTTCGGAGTACGGTCTTTTGTTACAGGGCCCTGTTTCCTTTGTCCAAGTTCGGAGACCCCGGCCACCCATATAAACCATACGTTTCCGATCCCGGAGTCCTCGGCAGGAAGTGGTTAATGTTAGGTGACAAAAATTACACAAATGTACAGCTTTGTTCTGAAAAGTGATCATCTCTTCGACTTCTTTGATGAAAGCTTGTTTTAAAAGGGTAGGTCAGTGCACGAGGATTTCAACAAGATTTTGCAGCACTCCATTTTAAGTATTAGATGTTGTTCCTGGAATGTGCCAAAGGAAAGCTGAAGACAAGCATTCCATGCAGAATCTGTCTTGGATTTCGAGGCGAGCTCCTCGTCCCATTTCAGGACGGGCCATCTGCCAGAAAAGTTGAGGGCAGAAAGATTCCATGCAGAAATCCTCTTGACTTTCGAGACCATCAAGTTCACCGAATACCTTGGTCCATTTTCAGGGCGGGCCATCCGTCACAAGGGGGACTACGCCACTATCCTGCTGCTGGACCAGCGCTACGCCAGGCCCTCCGTTCAGGGCAAGCTTCCAGGATGGATCAGGCAACGCATGCAGATCACGCCGCGATTTGGCCCTGCCTTCGCCATGATCAGCAAAGTGAGCGCCCTTCTTATCCATTGAAAGCAGTCTATTGGTGCAAAGCGTCTCTTATGTAACTAAGTAAAAGCTTGCCCTAAATCACAACGTGTAGCAACAGTGTCTTTAGTATGGAGCATTCAAATTGTTATGTTCATGTGAACATGAACATAACTCAGTGTACCATTTCATTCAAATTTAACTCGCAAAAGGCTCACTAATGGTGAGTTCCTACCAAAGGGAGGTCAGCTGGTTTCATCCATAAAAGAGAAATGAAAAGTTGTACACAAAGACTGTCTAAGAAGTATTCAGCACTTGCTTCCTTCAAAGATACCGATTGAAGTGAAAAGATCCGTGTCAACCTGCCCTTTTCCAACTTTGGTGGAGACTTGCTCACTGATTATGCTCCTCTGTCTGTTCTGCAGTTCTTTGTGACCAAGCGACCGAGTGCGGCACAATCTTCCGAGAGCCATCCAAGCCCCGTATAGCACCAGCGAAGTCCTGCCAAATTGAAGCAGGCAAACGGAAGTTGAATTGTGGGATGTAGCAGGCCTTTTTCCCCCCCGTCTCGCAACATGCCGGATGGCAGTTTGAAGGAATCGTGTGTAACAAGTGCAACTGATTCCATGAAAATCCTGTGTGTTGGAGAGATCGACGGATTGCTGGAGATAATTTATTTGACAGATTTAGGTGTCCACATGACAGTGGCATTAATCTGAGTGCAGTTAAGATAGTGCTTGGTGAGGTCCAAGGCAGTCGAGAGTGATTGTCACTGCACAGATAATGGAATGCCTAAAGACTTTGGAACAGGTAGTCCACATCCAATCGAAATACTCCTAAAATAATAAGGAAAACATTTGGTGTTTGTGGCTGGACTTGAAACACACAGTCATATTGAATATAACAAACTGTTGACGTTATAATTTTGTCGGTTGTATCATAAATGTGTGCCCTTTTCAACATGTCTCGGTGTTCCCCAGCTCAGATGCAGTTCAGGGAGTTTGACCCAATATCAGCTTCTTTGGGTTGAGGCCTGTAAAAGTTCAATACAGCTTCGATTTCCTGCCCCACAAACATTTGCGTGGCTAACACAAGGTCACGTTTTGAAGAATTTTTGTACTTGGCATCTACAGTTTACTTGGAAACTGTCTGGGGAGCTTCAGGTGTAAAGTAAGACAAGTGAAACATCTGTTTTGAAATAAGGCCCAGGAAAAGTGGTCATTTACACTTACTGTATTAGCCCTACTCAAGGGGGAAGGTAAATTTTATCCAAGGGGCAAGAAATGTTGAGAGTTTCTTCATGTTCACCTAGTGGTGAGGCTAAGGTTCAGAGCTTTGTATGCACTTTCGGAAGGAAGGGATATGAATTAATCTTCCAAAATTGCCCTTCTCATTATTAAAAAAATGGGCCCGTCTGGGGGAGGGGCCCTGGCTGTGGTGGGCATCCCCCTCGGATCCGCTAGTGGCCAGTGAAGTTCCATCCAAGTTTGGTATCTGGTTTTAGGGTACAACAGCTATCCATACAAGGTCAAGTAATCGTTTCTCTGTGGTTAGTGATCACCGGTGCCCTGCGGCTTAGCACTGGTGGCACTGTGAGCAGGCCTTCTTTGTACTGGCAATGCTAGGTCTGTGTCTTTTCTCTGTGGTGTAACAGTAAGGTACCCACAGCAATACCTCACGTTACTTACATGTAAATGTCATGCTGTATTCGATCTGTTGCAAAAGTGCCTTTATCAGCAAGCATTAAATTTTTTGTTGGAAATTACTGTTAGTTTTTTCAAGTTAATGCGTTTGTACATCACGGAAAATATTTATTAACTGTTTTGATACTTTCAAAGAAAAAAGGATGGTGTTAAATAAAGATATTTATTTAGAATCTCTGTGTGTTTCAATCATTGTTTGAATTACTGAAGTGCTCAGAAATGAGCTTGACTGCATGAGGAAAAAGTAGTTTGAATTTAATTCGTAATATTGAGAAATATTGGTAAAACTGTGGCCCCCTTTTCAGTTGACTAGATGTTTCGGAACTGGTATCTGTGCTTATATTTCAAAGCAATTTGTGCCAGCCAAAGCATCTCAAGGCAAATAACTTGGGGTCAACAACATTTTTCTTTTGAAGATAAAGTCGTCTGACTTTTTTTCGTGAACCCTTGTTTTTTCGGGTCTAGCACCTCCCACTCTTTGGAGTAAGAACATTGGGCTTTGGCACACTTCATGATGTTACTGCCCAATCTCCCAGGGGAAATATTAGGTTATCTGGTCATGCTATTGCAATCACTAAGCTATCCCAAAAACTGACTGGAAGGGGCAAGAGTCCATAGGATGAGACTTCGATGGAAACCCTAAACTTACACCAAGATCCCTGACTGACTTGAAGGGAGACTGCCAGTGAATAAGGTTGAATTACAGAGGCTACTGAATTAGTACAGTACTTAAACGAAATGCTTGGCTAGAACAGCTTGTTTTATGGGATGAACATTTTCAGGGTTACGTGACTTTTTTGTCTTCAAAAAACATCCATTGAACAAGAATATTTTCTGAACTAGTTTCTAGCAATAATAGCCAAATATTTTTTATTATCCATTCATGAAAAATATATGACTGCATGCCAGACCTTCCTAGTGAAGCATGATTTTTCAGTGGGTGAAATAAGTCACAGACCTTAGATAACTGATATACGGTATTGCACTCAAAGATCCTGCAGCTACGAATGTGGTTATTCAGCTTCAAATGTTGAACCACGAACTTGTCTAACTTTGGGATATAATGCAAGAGTACTTCCAGGTGCATGAAAACATAAAAGTGTAATCAGGAGAATTCCCTTTAGTGTAGTTCCATAGAGGGCGCTTTCACTCGAGGATACTCTTAAAACTTTGGTTTCGTCTCAGTTGAGGGCGCTTTTAACGTAATGTGAACTTCATTTTCATTCTTACCCAACTATCGGGACGAATAAACAATTCCCCAAAACTGGCTCTCGATTATGACCGCTAAACTATATCCCTGGAACTATCTTCTTCGTGTTGGAGGGAGAGTCTTGGAATGTACAGTAACGGAAAAGTCAGAACGTCAAATTTCCCTATCTCCGTGCACATAGAGACAAGTCTGTTTAATAAATGAGGTACGCGCGCAGGTGTTGAACTTGGCTGCTAACTTAATGTCCTTTTATTTGGCCCTTAAAGTTGTCCCTTTATTACTACCATCAGCCTTTATTTACTTTTTTAATCATTAAGGGAAAGGTTTGTTGCACTGGCTTTTGGTGATTTGTATTATTTGATTGACTCTATTTGTAATAATTGTTTTCTTTGCCGTCAAAATGTTGCAAAAAAAACACTTTTCTTAGAAATTGTCTTGACAACTTTACAACTCATCTGTATACATTTTGCTTACACAGAGGATGAATCTTGAATTAGTCTGTATATACTTTTGTGAGATTTATTTTTTAATCCAATGGGAAACTTGCCCATTGCATAAAACAGCAAGTTTCACAGTATATGCATACAAAGGGGAAAAAAGTTACAATGAATCCCTCGAATGAGAGGGTTTATATGTGTTCTATACACAATGTTAGTTGTACACCTATCAAAGAAAAGAAGTTACATTTCTGATCATATTTGTAAATATGGACACCAGTAAAATTTTATGGAGTGTAACCCTGATTTGGCAGACTCCAACTGAAATTGAATTGCGATCGAATCATGAATTCTGACTTGTGTTGAACTGATTCATGATGAAAGTCATAGATAAACGGCAGAGAAGATTCAAAACTTTTTGTTTTAGACAGTTTGTCAAACAATAAAAACATTGCAAAATTCTCTTTCAACCTTACCCGATACACCGAGGGATATTGAAGGCAATTACAGGCAATCATTCATGACTGAATAATTTTATAGCAATTGTCTGTAACAGAGTAATCAGGAACTAAGCGGCCATCAGTAATACTCATGACTTTGAAAAACCATATGAACTTACAGTTTAAACAGCTGCTGAACACACATCAGTAAGCTAAACTGGTTTTTTTTAGAGAGTAAGGATTGTACCTGTTTATTTCATTTTTTGTTCATTTATTAGATTTTATTTTGAAACCATAGAATTAGATTAACTCTGCTTATGGTGCTGCACCACTTCTTGCTGCAAGCAGCCTTTCAATATCCCTAATAACTGACTCCACGGTAGGACGGTCATGTGGCATTCTAGCTTTGCAGCGTTCACCAATGTCCCATATAGAAGTTNAGCTCAGCCTTGTTGTCTGCTATTATGTGGAATAAGTCACCTAAACTGTATATATCTCCTTTAACTCCTTGCTGGCATACACCTTCTACGATCTCTGGGGCCATGTGTGGGCAGTTTTGATAACACCACGCCTTTTTGGGTGAATCAAACATAAATGTTGGTGGTGGTAGGTCAATCCTCGTGGTGAGTCCCAGGTCGATGATTTTGGCAGCCCAGTTGTTGGACCTGCTTGGATCGCGCCAAATCATGACATTGCCGTTATGAAGGTCGTTGTGGGACCATCCAGCCTCATGCAGGGCAAGCAGTCCTCTTGATATGTCCAGGCATATGTTGATGTAGTCCACTGTGGTCAAGCCAGAAGGAGGGTTGACCAGAAAGAAATAGAGATCAGTAGATGTGAAGTTAGTTCCGTCGCCGATAAACTCAATGGCGAAAGTTGTCTGGTCAATGATTCCCCAGACCTTAGGGAATTCACGGTGATGTTGCACGGCCATCATGCATCTGATCTCTTTGATCATTTTGCTGTATGCTTCATTTGGGTCTTGCACATTCCGAAGCTGCTTGACTGCCACCAAGGATGCATCTGACTTCCTTCTCTTTAATAGGATGTCACCAAATGCTCCAGTCCCAAGGCAGACAGCCTGTCCTTGGTTAGTTACATCCTCCAAGTCATCGTATTTTTGTATCGGGATGAAAGATGACTCAGATGGCAAAGGGGCAGGGAAACATGGTACAGTGGGCTGTGTTGGCTGAGTCTGTACTGGAGGTGAGGTCCCTTCCCTTTGCTTCTTGCCAATAACTGGTGGACTTTGAATGGTTGCACGTCGTCTCCTGTAAGCGAACAAATGAAGAGAAATGGAGATATGCATGAACATAAAAGAGATTAATTTCAGCCCCATTTTGGCTAAATTTCACGAGTGTTCCTTTTATTGCAGGAAGAAACAGCAATGCGCAGGTGAAAACATACTCACTTTTTAGGAGTGGCAAGCGGTGTGACTGGGACTGGTGATGCTGACTGAACTGCCGGAGGAACTGGAGGAGAGGGTGCAGCTGCAGCTAGTCTTGACGGGGAAGGTGGACAAGGTGCAGCTGCTGTTGGTGGAGGAATAGTAGGTACTGATTGATGTGGCGTCTGTGGAGGTGTCAGTACAGGTGTGAGCGATGTTGATGGCGGCACTACCACTGATGGATTCACTAGAGCAGTCGTTCTGACAAGAAGAGGAACAGCATGTTGATTTGATGGCAGGGTCGGGTGAAGTGGACACGCCACGGCACCTGTCATTTGTTGGATGTCTGGGGAGGATGGAGATGGTGTCAGTGGTAGTGTGGGAAGAGGCAGACTCGGTGGCAAGACTGATGGAGTTGCCAGGGCCACAGGCATGGGCACACCTGGTGGATTTGATGGGAGGGTTGGTGCAGGTGGACATGCTGTAGTACTTGCTGTCAGTTGGATAGCTGGGATTGAGGTAGGTGGCGTAAGTGGAGGTGTTGGGAGAGTTGGATGAAGTGGCTGCACTAAAGACATCACCACGGGTGGTTGATTTGGCAAGAGGATCGGTGGAATAGGTGACGTTGGTCTACACGGTGTTAGTGGGTGTGTTGACGTCGACATGGGGGTGAGACTGATGGCAGGAGTTGATGGTGGATTTGGCGTCCGTGACCTTGCAGGTTGCTGTCCCGCTTGTCTCATCATCTCTTGCATCCACATTGGCTGGTTCCCACCATTACTGAGAAGTATAAAGTGATATGCAAGTGTATGCAGATGGTACATGTATATAGGGTCAATTTTCAGAACAATTTCTCGGAGCATCTCTAGTACGTCTAATACTGATCTTTACCTGAGTCACTGATCCTTTTTGAAATGATATTTCGTTTTGCAGAAGTCTGCTTTGAGAACTTGAAAAGACCATTAAAACAGAGAATTTGGAGACCTACCTAACAGCTTGTTGTTGGGCCATCATGGCATGGATCCTCTGCATTATTTCTTGTTTCAGTGTCAAGCTTGACTGATAGAGTGTAAAAATATAAAACGGTGGAAGGAAACAATGTTGGCCGGATTGAAATCAAATAGAAGGGATGGGGTTAAAATGCAATCGTGAGTGCTTACGAAGTCTTTAACCTTTAATATATAGACATTCAGCATCTCATTTTGCTTCCACAATTGAAAAGCTCAAAATATTTTGAATTTGGAGATGGTGGATGTTATCTTTTTAAGGGAAAACTAAATGAAAGATAAAGAATTTTTAATGTACCTCTTGCTCTGAAGGTTGACCACCTGCACTTTGAGGAGAAGTGGTGCGACGAGTTCGACGTGGAGAGCATGGATGGATCGCTGGATTAGCAGAGGTAGAAGGAACAATTGGGGAGGGGGACCGTTGGCGAGCCTGCAGATGTGCCTCAGGGGATGTCTGCTGGGCGGCTCTCATTGCCTGCATCCACAGCGGCTCTGATGCATCCGATACCCTTCAAATTTGAAAATGTGACCAAATTGAATCCCTGCATTTTTCAGGCAGTTGATGCTCAAGTGTATTTATTGTGACTAAAATCAATCAGATCTTTGTTTAGTTGGTTATTTCTTTAAAACATCTATACCACCAACATACCCGTTGCCCGGTGATTGGGCCATCATAGCTCGTACTCTCTCCATGATTTCTGCACGAAGTGTAGACTCTGGCCTTGGGGCAACCTGGGAAGATTGAATAGCGAAATTGTCATCAGAATTTTTAAATGAGTCTATAATTATTTAATTATGTACGTGCAGTGCCAAATTTACAAACATTTCGGACATTTTTACATTTCAACTTTTGGATGAATAAATGTGGCATCAGGAGAGAAATAGAAACAAGTTACTATTACAAAATTGAAACAGTGATTAATACAGCTTATATGATGCCATACCTGTTGGTTGTCAATGTGATTGTCACTTGAACTAGGAGGAGTCACAGTAGCACTTTCATCTGTATTAGGAGAGGTGAAAATGCGGCCTTCACCTGAAGACTGTGGAATAGAGGTGTCAGAGCTCTCAGGTGAAGCTACTTGAGAGATGGCAACTTCATCTCCAGCAGAACGGTGAAGAGCGCCAGCGTCATCAGCCACAGGTGGAGTTGGTGGAGAAGTAGAATTGATCTCATCAACCCTGGTGGTGGATGAGGCAAGTGGAGGAACAGGAGGGGTTGCACTCCCATTCTGGCTGATTCGTGCAGATGGGGTACAAGGATCAGTATCATCGTCAGGGGAATGCTCCGGAGAGAGCATTTCTTGATCTCTAGTAGGAGTGGCAAGTTGAGTGGCATTGTCTACTTCAGCAGGAGGGACAGGAGAGGGGAATCCAAGGTTCCCAGAATGGGAAGGGGGAAGCTGATCGTCGGCCTCAGTCACAGTAATTGACGAGTTGATGCCATCATTTTCATTGTTGATAGGGGGAACTTGAGAACTTGCATTGTCTTCTTCAGCTGGGAATAGGAGAGGGAATACCATCATCATTGTCCGTGTGTTGCGGAGGTAGTATGGCATCAACATCTTCGGTAGAAGGGATAGTAAATGGAATACAATCAACTCTGTTGGTGGTTTGGGGAAGCAGAGTGGTGTCACCAGACTCGGCGGGTGGGACGGAAGAGTCGTTATTATCCCTGTTGATGGTAGAACCATTTGGGGAGGCATCATCAACGTCAACAAGGGCAGGTGAGGTGATACCATCGTCTCTGTCAGTGGTTTGGGGAGGAAACACGGTATCATCAGGCTCAGCTGGAAGTGAAGGTGAGACGATTCCATCATCCCTATAAGGGCTGGGATTGCTATCATCAACTTCCGAAAGAGTGACAGGTAGCCTGACATCGCTGTCATTGGCTGACAGCAATGAAGGAGTGCCAGCAACTTCAGCAAGAGGAACAGTTGGAGTGATGACATCAATCGTATTGCTGGTGGTTGGACTGTCGCAATCATCTTCGGGGGGAGTGACAGGTGGGCTGATATTCTCCCTGTCGGCGATTGGAGAAATTGGAGGGGTATCAACAACCTCGGAAAGAGGGGCAGGTGGAGTGATGCTATCATTCCTGTTAGCGTGTGGAGGAAGAGGAGCCGTGGCATCATCCCCACAAGGCAAGAGAGGCGCTGTGATATCATCATGCCTCGCTACTAGCAGAGTACACACTCCGTTATCCCCCTTGGAAAGGAATTGATGGTTGAGTCTCAGGTGGTGGTTGGTTGGCGGTCCGCATTAGCTGCAAGTATAAAATATCAAAAGAGGTCAAATAAATAAGCTGAGAAAAGAACGGGGTTAGAAAATCATGACCATCAAATTGTTATTTTTGTACCTCATTATTTGATGCTGTTTGAGCTGGAGTCAGAAATGAGCTGTCCAGGTCATTTAGGGCTGGTGAGTAGCGATGTATTACGCCACGAAGGCTCAGAGAAGACTGAGCGGCAGATTGGTCCACACGAGTTGGATTGAAACGACGGGAACCTTTGCTTTCCATCCAAGGAGGTGCCCCTCTTTGCTCTCCTTGGGCATCGGTGGTTTGCCATGATCGGTTGAAAGACGCCAATCCCAATCGATCGGTCAGATTCCTTTGCATCAAGGAAACGGCACCAAGATCTCGTGGTTGCGTCCACAATCTGGAAGGAAAAAAGATACCGTCTTTATGGAAGTTTGAATGGAATTGAAGGATTTGTGTGGAATTGGTATTCCTTACGTTACTCTATCATCCTAGTACCGTAATGTTTCTTGCATTGAGAGTGAGTTTTCAAAGAACTTTTGGGAAGGTAATTTTTTGCTCACCCTTGCAACATCCTGATGACCGTGGTTGACCTCTGATTATTGTACAATACTTCTGGATCAGATGGCCATGGATGCATGAGAGTAGAGGTACCGAGGGTTGGAGGCAAGGCGATCGATTCCTGCCCATTCAGCGATGGGCGCACTTGCCATATTGGCAGTCGCGGCCAACGGGCCTGAAGTTGTCTGCAACGTGTACAGAGTCAATCAATCAAGCAACATTTATTTCCATAATGCCGAAAGATTCGAATACAATACAACAGAATAAATTGATAAACATGTAGTTAATATTATNACACGTCGATAGATTGAGGATAAGAATAAATAAAGTCTTCGGCAATTATGGGGCGTCTTCCGAATTCAAACGCTTATATGGAGATGCCTTGACAAAAACTAAATCAGAACATTTAACAGTGACAAAATAACAATTAGACAAACAAAACTACAATGTACATGGGATGAAAGTAAGCATCGAGGGATGGAAAAATGAATGAAGCCATGTAAAATGAACTCATGCAACTAGTCAAAAGAAGAAAAATTAAGAGATAAAGAAGATGAAGAGCAACGCAGTAGTTATTACATAAGCCAATAAACAGCAAGTTCATTACAATCGCATGCAATATAAGTATAGTTTAGGCTTTATTATTCGTGAATTGGTTAAAATACAAGACATGAAAATACATTATAACATTTTGTGTACAATGTACGGTTTAAGCTGCATTGTTTGCGCATTGGTTTAGATAAGAGACAAAACGAACCTCACAACTTTCGTGTCAGGCAATAGCTCCATGGGCCAGGGGACCCCAAGGAGAACAATGTGATTGGATATTATTGTCAATTAGTATAAAACAAAGAGAAACAAACAAAAGCAGGAAATCGATTAGCTCTGGAAAGAGTAAACACTCCAAGTCAACGTAAACATATCGGACAACACGTGCGCGAATCTGCGAAAAAATCTTTTTAAGAGCCTAATCTTACAGTCGTCGGTAAGAGAACTTTGCCTTATCAGAATTCTTTTTTAATGTTTATTCTATTGTTGTGTTAGTATGCCATTCTATTCAACTCTGGGGAGCAGAGAACTTACCGGTAATTCACCGACTTTAGTTCCTCAGCTATTCTCAGAACTGTTATCATTGTCGCAGTTTCTCGTCAGAACAAAACTTTGCTGAATAATCGCATTGGTCACATTCGAAAATGTACTGCAGAGAAAAATCCTTGTCTTACACACGAGTGCTCAACAAGAACAAAGGTCGGGTGAGTGTTTTCTTGTTTAAGTAGCGAACACCACGTGGCAACAGCAGCGCGCTTGAAAACTTGCGCGTTTGATCATGGCGTAACAATCCGGTTCGTAAGTGTGACGTCACTTCAGTTTAAATCACGCCCACTGCATCGTGCACTGGACATAGAGTTACATGCATTGATCGCCGTTTACGTGGAACCATGGAACCAGAAGTTAACGCGCAACTTCAGCGATTGTCCAATGAAAGCCTGCAAATCGTGGTGCGTCTGCCCTTGTGACGAAGTCACTTACGAACAGGATTGGGAAAGTTTGTGATATCAGAAACCAACGAGTTCAACGTTTGTAGGCAAACGCACATTTGCAGTAATCGTTGCTAGGCAGCTGTAGGTGTACGTAATTCGGGCCAAGTTCATTGAATTGGAGCACTCTAATTGGTCCTCAACCCGTTCACGTGAATAATTATAAATAATCGCCATAAAATGTGGCTAAGGCCATCTGAGTGTCCTATCATATTATGGAAATATGGCTGTTTCTAGTGAGAGATAATGATCTTGAAAATAAAAGTCAACAGATAATTAAAAAAACAAGCTACAGGTGTAGGTGTGAGTCCGAGGAACCTGTTTTTTATGCCCTGGTAACTCAGAAGTCTCATATTATGGTCAGTAGTGATGAAAATCGGCCAAATTGCGTCAGATCCATGAAAAGTTATGAGCCACAAATTACCTGGCGGAATGTAGCTTAAATCATTTTTTAAAATGAAAAACCAGCCATGGCATCTTACAGTTAAACGAGGATCTTCGTGATAAAAGGAAATTGAGGCTGTTGTTTCGAAAGTTTCTTTAAAGCATTTAGAAAGTGTATGGGACTGCTACTGTTATGTTTACTGTATAAAATTTTGGCGAGCTTTTTCCTCGGGAACCCCATGATAGACGAGTTCTTGCAAAGTCATGGGACGAGGCGCTGGTATAGAATTCGGAAGGATATTTTTACGACCGAGCGAGGGTGGGGGTAGAATGTCGTCACATGCACAGCCGGATCCAAATAGACGCTATCCCTTAGGTTGTGCAGTCTGCCACAGAGTGGTGGTCACGTCATGTGCAAAGAAATATTCCTGGGCAAACTCGTTATCTGGTAATTCTGATATATTCTTAAAATGCAAACAGCAATTAAAAAACGAATTTTTGTCGCAAAACAAACACTTTTCTTGGAATTTGTTTTGATAACTTTACAACTCATCTTTATCATTTTGTTTACACAGAGAATGAATCTTGAATTAGTCTGTATATAATTTTGTGAGATTTATTTTTTAATCCAATGGGAAACTTGCCAATTGCATACAACAGCAGGTTCCACAGTATACGTATACAAAGGGAAAAAAGGTTACAAAGAATTCTTCGAATGAGAGGGCTGATGTGCATGCTATACACAATGTTAGTTGCTAGTTTCAAAGAAAAGAAGTTACATTTCTGAGCATATGGACACCAGTAGAAGTTTATGGAGTGCAACCCTGATTTGGCAGACTCCAACTGAAATTGAATTGCGATGGAATCACGAATTCTAAGTTGTATTGAACAGATTAAGGATGAAAGTTCTTGATAAACGGCAGAGAAGATTCACAACTTTTTATTTTGAACAGTTTGTCAAACAATAAAAACATTGCAAAATGTGCATGAAGTCAATCTCACCGAGGGATATATATATTAAAGGTAATTACAGGCAATCATTCATGACCGAATAATTTTAAAGCAACTTGTCTGTAACGAAGTAATCAGGAACTAAGCGGCAATCAGTAATGCTCATGACTTTGAGAAACTATATGAACTTACAGTTTAAACAGCTGCTGAACACACATCAGTAAGCTAAAATGTTTTTTTCAGAGAGTAAGGATTGTATCTGTTTATTTCATTTTTGTCCATTTATTAGATTTTATTTTGAAACCATAGAATTAGATTAACTCTTCTTATGGTGCTGCACCACTTCTTGCAGCCAACAGACTTTCAATATCCCTAATGACTGACTCCACGGTAGGACGGTCATGTGGCATTCTAGCTTTGCAGCGTTCACCAATGTCCCATATAGAAGTCNGCACGTCGAGAGATTGAGGACAAGAATCAATGAAGTTTTCGGCAATTATGAATTCAAACGCTTATATGGAGATGCCTTGACAAAAACTAAAACAGAACATTTAATAGTGTCAAAATAACAATAAGACAAACAAAAATACAATGTGCGTGGGATAAAAGTAAGCATCGAAGGATGGAAAAGTAAATGAAGCCATGAAAAATGAACGCATGCAACTAGTCAAAAGAGGAAAAATTAAGAGATAAAGAAGATGAAGAGCAACGCAGTAGTTATTACTTAAGCCAATAAACAGCAAGTTCATTACAATCGCATGCAATATAAGTATAGCTTAGGCTTTATTATTTGTGAATTGGTTAAAATACAAGAGATGAAAATACATTTTAACATTCTGTGTACAATGTACGGTTTAAGCTGCATTGTTTGCGCATTGGTTTAGATAAGAGACAAAACGAACCTCACAACTTTCGTGTCAGGCAATAGCTCCATGGGCCAGGGGACCCCAAGGAAAACAATATGATTGGATATTATTCTCAATTAGTATAAAACAAAGAGAAACAATCAAAAGCAGGAAATCAATTAGCTCTGGAAAGAGTAAACACTGAAAAGCTCTGGAAAGAGTCAACGTAAACGCGTATCGGATAACCCGTGCGCGAATCTGCGAAAAAATCTTTTTAAGAGCCTAATCTTACAGTCGTCGGTAAGAGAACGTGGCCTTATCGGAAGTTTTTTTAATGCTAATTCTGTTGTGTTTGTATGCCATTTTATTCAACTCTGGGGAGGAGAGAACTTACCGGTAATTCACCGACTTTAGCTCCTCAGCTATTCTCAGAACTGTTATCATTGTCGCAGTTTCTCGTCAGAATAAAATTTAGCTGAATAATCGCTTTGGTCACATTCGAAAATGTACCGCAGAGAAAAATCCTTGTCTTACACACGAGTGCTCAACAAGAACAAAGGTCGGGTGAGTGTTTTCTTGTTTAAGTAGCGAACAACACGTGGCAACAGCAGCGCGCTTGAAAACTTGCGCGTTTGATCATGGCGTAACAATTGGGAAAGTTTGTGATATCGGAAACCAACGAGTTCAGCGCAAACGCAAATTTGCTGTAATCGTTGCTAGGCAGTTGTAGGTACGGTGTATATAATCCGGTCCGTAGGTGGCTTCGTCACAAAGGCGGACGCACCACGATTCGCGGGCTCCCGTGGGGCGATCGCAGAAGTTGAGAAATGAGCACTTAGTTTTATTGCTGTTTTGGGGGTATCTTCGTTCAAAGGCGAATAAAAAGAAATTTTCGTGGCTAACCCCCATGAAATTGAAACGAAAAGTGATCTTCTGGCCATAATCTTGAATTTCCAGTAAAAAAAAAAAGGAGGCCAACCTCTTCACGAGAGTCAACAGGCGGCGCTATTTCAGTCCGATTTTGCACTGTTTTCTATAGGCGCGTGTTGTGTGTTGTGCAACCCTAAAGTGATATGAGTGTCCAGTCATATTATGAAAATATACCTGTTTCTAGTTAGACATGATGATCTTGACAATTAAAGGCACTGCTAATTAAAAAAAAATTAAACTACAGGTATAGGCCTGAGTCCGAGGAACATGTTTTTACGCCGTGGTCACTGCGGGTTCTCATTGTTATGGTCAGTAGTGATGAACATTACTCAAACAGCATAGTCTGCCCAACTGCGTAACGTCCATGAAGAGTTATCAACCACTGTTGTAAATTACCCTGCAGAATCAAGCTAATCTTTTTTTTTCAAAATGAAAAAATCAGCCATGGCATCATACAGCTTAGTAACAAGGATCTTCATGATAAAAGGAAATTTAGGTTGTGGTTTGGAAAGTTTCTTTAAAGTATTTAGTAAGTGTACGGGACTACTACTACTGTTATGTTTACTAAAAAAATGTATAAATATTTGGCTAGCTTTTTTCCCCTCGGAACTCGATGATTGACAGGTTCTTGTTAAGTCAGGGGACTAGGCGCTGGTGGGGAAGGATATTTTTACGACTGAGCGAGGGTAGGGTTAGGATTTCGTCCTAGCTAGATCTAAATGGACGCTGCCCTTCAGGTTGTGCAGTCTACAGCAGAGTCGTGGTAAATGACATGTGCAAAGGTAAAGAAACATTCCTGGTCAAACTCGTCATCTGGTACTTCTGATATATTCCTAAAGTGTAAACAGCTGTTTCGAATCGAATTGACCATTCTCTTACTTTTTGCCACTGACAAGGATTTTCGCAAAGATCTGTGCTGCGTTTTAACCCTTTTGATAATATTTTCTACATTTAGGAGAGAAATTTTCTTCAATACATGCTAAAGGGCAGGATGTCTTGCAAGGTCACAAGGCCCTTTTAGTTAAGTTTCCGATAAAATTTTCAAACAAAACCTTCGAAAGTGGCAATGGGCGTTAATCTTGCATTTTATAAAATTTGGCCAGATTTGACCTTTCCCTTAATTGCAGGCGCAATCTTCAGTTCAAAATAACGATATTGTACTGCCTGTAATAATTACCCATTCTTCGAAAATCTCAGACCACTTTGTCTCCAAAATTAAAGATGTTGCATTTTTGCAAGTATTTTGACGCTGCTGGCTTAAGGCAAATCAGCACTGGTTTCTGTAATGCCCACGTTTCTCTGCTCTTAAGAACTTTTTGATGGGTCGCTCTTCAGAATGTATGACTCTAAATGAAGTCACACTTCGGTACTATAGCGGGACGTCACTTCAGTTTAAACCACGCCCACTTCACATACAGTTAGACTTACTTTGGTTAAGACTAAAGTTGCACGTTAACTTCCGGTTTCAAGGTTCACGTCAACTTTAGTCTGGCGCGTCACATGAATAACAAATTCACAACATGAATATTCATGATACAGGCGAAACTGTTGAAAATTGTTTACAAATTTATATCACTTCAAAAAATCTACTCAAAATTCACTTATTTACATATAAAAATCCAGATTGTTAATCCGTACAACTTATTAATAAAATAAATCAGTTTTTGGAGCACTCAGTTGCCTTGAAAAAATTAAAGAACTTCTAACCAATCCCTAAGCTGCTATTATTCCAGTATATGTACTTAAACTTGAAGTTTGTCTCCGTTTTAGGCTTTGTTGGCTCCAAAATCAATTCCATATCTTCGGCATCAAGCTTTCAATTTTTAAATTGAAGTACTCGAAAATTTTGCTCGTTTGCATCTTATTTGCTCTTTGGCACTATCGTACGTGCATCTATTGCATGAGCCAACAACCAACTTCAGAAGACGAGGTAAAAACCTTTTGAGGAAGCGTGAGAAGTGAGACGGGGATGCAGTCGGAGCTGCCATGTTGGATTGCACGCCCACTTTGATTGAGCGGACAACACAAATGAGTGGTGCAGATGGTCGCTTCCGTGCACTATGAAAAAGAAATATACCCATTGAATTCAAAGATGAAAGGGCATGCTTGAGAGGCAGCATAGACCTGGAGGAGAAAGGTAAGATTTAGGAATGACAAAGCCAAGGAAATTCTGGTTTTAGGGGCATTTTTTGCCACCCTGTTGCAATAGCCTATCGCATTTAAGCCTAGGCCTACTGCATGGGTGATTTTACACAATGGTAGAAAGGCATTGTGTAAAATCACCGTTGAAGTATTTGCGATAAGGCTTGTGGTTTGGAAAACAATCTAGGCTAGGGCCTAGGCCCAGGCTCTGCAGGTGTGGTCATGATAGGCCTAGCAGCGTCCGCTGGCACACTTGTAGCTTTCCTCGAATTTCCTCATGCATTGTTGCTGATCCTCGTGTTTTAAAAACTTCAAATTAATGAAGTATGTACTTCACCATGGTTTCAATTTCAGTGCTCAAGTCATCAGCCTAATCCAAAAATTTTTTTTAAAAAGGGGGGCGCCTGGAAATTGAGCATATCTTCCGCGGAGTGTTCCTTAATTATTCCAAGGCGCATTTGAACAAATCTGGAAAATCTCACATTAACATAAAATAAATTCTTTAGGGTTGAGATATCAATTATTATTTCCTCATCTCACCATTTTCACATACTCAACTACAACTAAGTGTGCAAGATAGTTTTGTTCCTAGTTTTGGGTGCAGTTTATATTGTGCACTTTGAAAGAAAATTTGAAATCAGGCCAGTGTGAAATTTGAAAGGCTAAAAATTGCTCTTTCAAGGCAGTGTATTGTGACAAATAATGGCAGTGTGCCATGTTAGGGGCCTCAGCACATCAACAGTGGAAATGGAGAGAATTATGGGCCTGCCAGAGGCCTTTTTCGACCCTTTGTGTTGGACTGATGACATTTATTACCAGTCAGTCTTGTGTTGCATGTTTTTGGTTTTTTTAAATAATTTGATATGGTACATGTATTAAAAATTTTGAATTTCAGTTTACTAGGCCTAGGCCCTGCTTAGTGTTCATTTTGGAAGATATGACCGGCAATATTTCCAGCCAGTGCACAAACAGATCACGGCACAAATCCAGATATGTTTCCAAATCTAATGATTTAATGTACATAGAATATTTCCTCCTCAGGTTTTTCAGAGTGTAGCATGGAAAGCTTATTTGCTACAACTTAGCACGCTTCAGGGCACAGCCTACAGACTCTTGTATGAGAAATCTCTATCCACCTGGAGCGAGAATGCATGCGTGCATTCTCAACAGGTAAGGTTTCTTGTTCTCTTATTGCTACTTGTTCCCCTGGCTAATTTTGGGAGGTGTTTGTGCATTTTTCCACCTCATGTAACTCATCAAATCATACCAGGTCATCAGGCCATGTCAGGTTTCCTTACTTCTGATCTGATTGAGAGTTGCATAAAAAGATAAAAAATGTCATGCCAAATAAGGGAAAAAATGTTTCATCTTTATATATTGTCCTATAGTCTCTGAAAGTTCCAATGCCAAGAATGTCAGTCTTCTTTCCAAAGCGTTGTCAGATCTGTACTTTGGCAGTTTGCCAGCAGTGCAATGAATATTCCTCTAATCCAGTGCTTACAGTCAACCACATTTTTCGAACACACTCTCTTGTCTGCCAGGTATCTATGAACATCCCACTGCAAGTATATATTAGTACTTTGTCATTTATGGATTTTTTTTGTAATTACAGAACATTAATTTGTTAATAAGACACTGTTTAATTTCTTATTACTGATTATTAATTTCTTGCTCTGATTTATTTGTTCTGGACCCGTTATTATGTGTTATTAATTTGTTATTACTAATTAATGTGAGCATGTGATTAGAATGTGCATCTATAGCTTCACAGGTGGCAATATAAGTACCTATTTGCTGATCAACTGCCTAAACTTTCTCCAGTGCCATCTTGGAGCATTCCGAAGTTTGTCAACATCGTTGGGCATGCCCAACTTTGGTTGGAAAGAAACAATTTATGAGAAGAGAACACAGGCTAGTAACAAGTATTGTGAAATTGTACGCAAAATTTAAAAAGTGAACAGGTACCAAATAAGTGAAAAAGGCAGACAGCAAGAAGAAATTGGAGAGCAAAATCTGTGGACTACAGTAATGTCAGTCATAAAAGAGCATCATGTCAGCCATTACCCTTCAAAACTCAAAACAGCCTAGTTCACAAAACAGCCATTGAGTCCTGCTAGCCATGTCATGAAAACATGTTAAAACCGTTCAAAACTTGAAACAGCCAATCTTAAAAGCAGTCTTATTGAATTACATGTTTATATAATTCTGCTGGATAACCTGCAATGCATTTGAGCATTTGATATTAATTTATACCCGTTGTACAAATTAGTGTCCATGAGGGATTCATTAATTGGAACATTGTTTTTTGTCCTCACAGTTGCATTTAAATCAATGTTTTTCTGGACAAATTTCACCTAAGGATCATGGGCCGGAAACTGGACGTGGACTGGAAGTTTCACAATTGAGGTAGGCTATATTGAAATTTCAATGTTCCCTTCCATCACCTGGTCACCATTGATGGTTTATACATGTACCTCTTGTATATGGCATGCTTGAGTAACTCTAGCCCCGTTGGAATCTTGGCTGAACTATATGAACACTAGCACTGGTGTTATACGTGGGCTAGAGTATCTGCAGCTTAGCCCTAGGACTACCTGTATGTAGAGCTATTAATATCCGGCCTCTCTAAGCTCAGGGAGGCAGAACAACGGGCCTCATATAGTCTAGGGTAATTACTGGAGTTTGGAGTTAAAATTTGGAGTTCAGCACTAATTGTCCTGGCGATTTATTGAGTGGCTACTCAATGTTATGCTGAAGAGAAAAAGACAGATCATCAAATTAAGGCCAGAGATCCAAGTGGGTTGCACAGCTTAGAGCACTTATTTGTTTGGAGCCCAAATTGTTTTTGATGCCATAAGCATTATGGGGCTGGAATCATTCAAGCTTATGTAATAACATTCCATTGACCTGGCCTAGGGAGGTTTGCAGGTAGAGCTTGGCTTTTTTTGGATAGCCATGCAGTGGATTACACTGGTGAATTCGCTCTATTTTCGTCAACCTAAGGAGTATACATGTATAGAGAGTAACACTCACCACTCAATGGAGCAGTCAATAATGAAGCAAATGATCTACTAAAAAGACCAAAACATTCAGAAGCCTTACCATTCTTTGAATGTTGTCAGAAATATTATTTAAAGAACTGAGAGTTAAGCTGCTATCTATTTTCTATGCCAAATTTGTATAGCTAAAATTTATTTTCATGATTTCCTGGTTTTTGCAGGTTTCCAGTAGTACAATTTAATGTGATTGTGAATTGAGAAAATTTTTCTCATTTATAAGAATTCAATAAACCTACTAATACTGACGTTGTGTAACAATTTCAATCAAAAGCTGTCTTGACATAGCACGTAATTAATTTTTCATCAGTTACAGTTTTTTGTTTTAATTAAGGATGTGCCATTTTAAGGACGTGCAACCCTTTCTCATCAATTGGCCCTGCGATTAATTTGAAAATGAAAAATGGATGTGTGCTATTGAAAATTCCTCACATTGCCCCCCCCTTATAATTTTTTCCAATGACTGCATCATAGTGGAAGCTTTTCATGTTATGTCTTAATAATTTACCCTTATTCTCAACTTTAATACCTCTTTATGTGTTGCTCAGGTTTTCCTGGTGAAAGGGAAAAACATTCCTGGATGTGAGGGGGCACTACAGTGCAAGTCAAAAGGTCCGACTCTTGAGTTTTGAAACAAGTACTCAATTAACTGGAGATTTACCATTGTTTTGATTTAAATAAGTTTTCTGATAAATTTGTGGACGTTTGCTTGATTTGGCGGGTCTTCTCCCAGTCGATACTTGTGGAAAAAACAATTGCCTACCTTTACCCTGCATGCATGCAGTAGTTGGTCAGAAAAGACTATGGAACATCACGGCACCAATTTTGAAAATTGAATTCCAACCAAAAAATAAAACCCCGAAAAGTTTTAGTGGAATGAAAACCAAAATGAACATACACCCAAGCCAACCTACCCTCATGTGGCAATGATAACGAAGCAGCCTGCCATGTCTTAAGCAGTGGCGCTTTGTTTTTTTGTTCATCTAGCATGATCATCAGGAGTCCGAAACTTCCAGCTGATCATCATGCATCCCTGATGATGAGGACTTTGTGGAGCTCCTGAGCCACTTCAACTCCACTGACTTCTTCCATTTCACCAAGAATGATGAGTAAGTCATGCTGAAAAGCTCAACTACATATATGTCCTAGTAGGGTGCTCAGACTGTGATGATGTACATGTGTCCTGTTCACTCAAAACAGTGAAGGACTCAAGGAGTGTAAATGCATCGGTTAATGCTTGCATATGGCATGGAATGGTACAGATTTCAACGGAATGCACGCACTTGTGATGTCTGTGCGGTACTATGCAAGCATGGGTGGATGGCAGCAAGCTGTGTAACTCTGTTTGACCCTGCTGTTTTGAGTATGTTTATTCACCAGAGAGTCCCACCCTTAAGTTTGTACATGCTCATGTACCATACATCTCATGATGGAGAAGGCATATGAATGTTTACGTAAGCATAATGTGTGGCACCCCTCCCAAAATCTTGGAGAGAGCATTTTGAGATGTTTGTTCATATAGTTGAACCGTTGTAAAGTCCAATCCTTTTTCATTGTGTAGCCAAAGACAATTTTCACCCACTGTATGAGGTGATCATGTGTTGCACTTGCTCATGAAATTTGTCCCTTTGTTTCAACATGAGCAGCTTTCTCCTACTGTGTCTTGGAAAGTTGTCCCTTCGTGACCACAGAGATAGTGACATGAACAATTTTGCTCTGTGCTCTTGCCAAACTGGCCTTGGGCTCATGAACTGTTTAAAAAATACAATCCATATTTTGTCTAAGTAGGCAATACTTAAATTCTCTCTTTTGTTGGGCGGATTGATTGGCGTATGAGAAATTTGGGTTAAAGAAATAGAAAATTGTCATAAAAACCACCAGTTTTACTTTTTGGATAATTTTGGGATTCTGCCCCCTGGCCCCTTTCCTATGGTTAAATTGTGGATTGCATCACCAAGAATTAGTTGTGTTGTATTGAGCTGATCCATGAATGTCATATACAAACTTAAAGACAAGTGGAGATGCACCTTTCATTTTTAAACAGTTTATTAAACTGTAGAATTTACAAGACCGTGACTTTCATGTACCCAGTGTCTTGCAACTCATAACTGATACCTCTATTTAAGGTGATTCTCAAGTTTTGCTATCGTCATTCATGACCAAAGAATTCCATACCAACTTCCTGCATGTGAATTAAGGAATAATTTGAAATGACAAGGTGATCCGTAATTCTCAATACTTTGAAAACCATTTTGCATTTCAGTTTGTCTCTTTCAAAAAAATAAATTCCAGTTGATGTTGCCTAGGGATAATTTTATCCACTTGCAATTGCTGTACAGCCTCCATTCTCAGAAGTAAACTATCACTGTTGCTTGCTTGGGTTTATTTTAGGCAGCACTTTTGTATTTTTTGACACAGGGTGCAGTGACGGTCAGCAGTGTGCAATCGTATTAATGTTGTCATCATTGTTCATGGATCTTTCAACATATAGACTAACCACTACATACTGATATACTAACTTTCTCAGGTACCAAGTTAAACCTTTCTAAAAGATTACATGTCGTGGTTTTCTTTAACAATAGCGCAAAAATTGTACTTTTTATTTTTCGTTTTTTATTTGTCAAAATTTGTTGAACCAAAGAATTAGATTCACTTTTCTATGGTACTGCACCACTTCTAGCAGCCAACAGATTTCCAATATTCCTAATGACTGATTCCAAGGTGGGGCGGTCATGTGGCATTCTAGCTTTGCAATGCTCTCCCTTGTTGTCTGCTGTTATGTGGACTAAGTATCTTAAACTGTGGATTTCTGCTTTAACTCCTTGCTGGCATACACCGTCTACGGTATCTGGGGCTATGTGTGGGAAGTTTTAATAACACCACGACTTCTTGAGTGAGTCAAACATAAATGTTGGTGGTGGTAGGTCGATCCTCGTAACGAGTCCCAGGTTGATAATTTTGGCAGTCCAGTTGTTGGACCTGCCTGGATCACGCCAAATCATGATGTTGCAAGTATACAGGTCATTGTGGGACCATCCAGCCTCATGCAGGGCAAGCAGTCCTCTTGATATGTCCAGGCATATGTGGATGTAGTCCGTTGTGGTCAAGTCAGGCGGATTGAGCAGAAAAAAGTAGAGATCAGTACATGTGAAGTTTGTTCCACTGCTGATAAACTCAATGGCGGTGATGATGTTTTCTGGTCATTGAATTTCCCAAATGAATTCCCCAAAGGGTGGGGAATTCATGGTGATGTTGCACGGCAATCATGCATCTGATATCTTTGATCATTTTCCATACATGCTTCATTTGGGTCTTGTACTTTCCTAAGCCACTTGATGACCACCCACCGACTTCCTTCTCTTTAGAAGGATGTCACCAAATGCTCCAGTCCCAAGGCGACAGGCTGTCCTTGGTTAGTTACATCCTCCAAGTCATCATATTTTTGTATCGGGATGAAAGGTAACTCAGCTGGTAAGGGGGCTTGGAACCTCTGCACAGTGGGCTGTGTTAGCTGAGCCTGTACTAGAGGTGAGTCCCTTCCCTTTGCTTCTTTCCAATGACTGGTGGTTTTTGAATGGTTGCACGTCGTCTCCTGTAAGCAAACAAATGAAGAGAAATATGCAGCCGTTTTTATGCCAAATTTCATGACGGTTCCTTTTGTTGCCGGAAGAAGCAGACATGTGAAGGTACAAACAGACTCACCTTTTGCAAAAGTAAGTGGTGTGACTTGGACAGGTGCTGCTGACTGAACTGCCAGTGTAGTTGGATGGGAAAGCGTAACTGTAGCTAGCCTTGTTGGGGGAGCTCCCGGGAGGTGGGCAAGGTGCGGCTAGTGTTGGTAGAGGAATAGCATTAGCACTGATTGATGTGGTGTCCATGAAGGTGTCGGTGCAAGTGTTCGTGGTGTTGATGGCGGAACTACCTTTGATGGATTGTCTTGGGCAGGAGCGATGATAGGAAGAAGAACAGCTTGTTGATTTGATGGCAGGGTCAGGCCATGTGGACGCAGCAGACTACCTGTCATCAGTTTGCTGGAGTGGATGGAGGTGGTGTCAGGGGTGGTGTGGGAAGAGGTGGACTTAATTGGTGGCACTACTGATGAAGTTGCCAGGGCCACAGGCATGGGCACAGCTGGTAGAATCGATGAGAGGGATGGTACCGGTGAACATGCTAGATCACCTGTTGTCATTGGATGCTGGGATAGAGGCAGGTGGCGCAATTAGAGGTGTTGGGAGAGTTGGATAAGTTGCTCTGAAGACATCACCCCGGTGGTTGATTTGGTGGTCTACATGGTGTTGGTGGGTGTGTTGAGGTCAACACGGGGGTGAGACTGATGGCAGGAGTTGATGGTGGACTTGACGTTGATGACCGTAAAAGCTGCTGTCCCGCCTGTCTCATATCTCTTGCATCCACATTGGTTGCTTCCCACCATTACTGAGAAGTATAAAGTGATATACAAGTGTATGCAGATGGTACATATATATGAGGTCACTTTTCAGAATAATTTCCCGGAGCATCTAATGCACATGCAGTCCTTATCCACACCTGAATCGCTGATCCTTTTTGAAATGATATTTCGTTTTCCAGAAGTCTGCTTTGAAAAGAAAAGACGTACCACATTAACAGAGAATTTTGGAGACCTACCTAACAGCTTGTTGTTGGGCCATCATGGCGTGGAGCCTCTGCATAATTTCTTGTCTCAATGTCAAGCTTGGCTGAGAGAGTGTAAAAATATGAAATGGTGAAAGCAAACAACAACAGTGGCACAGATTAAAACCATAGCAAGTGGGGGGTGTAGAAATGTAATTGTGTGTGAGACAAATGCTTACGAAGTCTTTATAGGCGAGGATATGTCCCTGTTTATCTTGCTGTTGAGTGGCATCCGATTTAGGACAGGAAAACAATGACTGACACTAAATCCAAATGTGACTGTTGGACTTTGCAAATATTTGCAGTTAATTAGCAAAACTTGATAAAAATAATTAAAAAATGCGGCATTTACTTTCCCAAGAAGCATTGTGGTAACAGCAATGCGGTTGACGTAGCATTTTTCTTGACCAATTAGAGAACATCATTTGCAAACGTGACTCGATCGCCATTAAAACCAAAATGGCAGCCTTCACATATGGCATGGCGGATGCATTTCATTTCATCATTTTTTGTCGGTTTTGAGCAATGGAGTGTGTGCTCCATGTCACCCTATGTCGGGAAAGTGATAAGATAACTGCATTTTCCATTTTGCTGCATTTTGCTGGAGGAAAGTGTTTGAGTGCATCAAAGAGTGGGTGGAGTTGGAAAACTGGCCCAGAATATGCTTTGGCCGTACAGTTGCGAAACAGGTAAGGCACGCATTGATTGATTCGATTAATTCATTAAGCTAGCACGGCCTGAAAATTTTCAACTCGAAATAACTTTAAATCATGAATAAATTATGCTTTGGAAAGAAAGCTTAAATGAAGGATCATCAAGAAAATGTGGGTAGTTTTTTCTAATAACACTACAGTCTTTAGTAGGCACATAGAGCAAGGAAACAAGGCCCAACAACATATCATTCAACCATGTCAACATCATGCCCCCAACATATCAAACATTCTTTGCACTCTCCATGCTAGTGTCTCCTCTTTTAAAGCTTATTTTCCATGTTTTATGGTTTTCATCATCTAAGCGGTTACCCTGTAATTTATCAAAGCGCATCCTTTTACTCAGAAAATTAAACTAGGTGATATTCAAGAACATATGTATCAACTATCATTATCAATATCAGATGTGTTCGTAAGTTATTCAACTATTTGTATGCATCTTTGGCCCTGTTTATAGTATTTACTAAAAATCTGACACTCATTCCATGATATCCATGCAGCAAAATTAGGGACCTAATTTGACTTCATCTTTGTTATGTCTAATTCCTACACGTGTACTCACTATGTTGACTGAAATGTACATGCAGGCTTTAATTTGCAGATGGTTGGGCCCTATTTAAACACTTTTAAGGGACTGCAGCAGAGAGTCTAAATCTCTCTTTTTTCTCACACAAACTCACTTCATTGGACATTTTCTAGCATCATCGACTGTTGCCAATGATTTTGAAATGTTTCAAAGTGACGGGCAATATACATGTATACGTAGACATCCATGTTCTCACGCTCCAGGACTAAATGAAGAATTTTAGCGTGTAACTAGGTAAAAGAAAGCTTTTTTTATATTTTGATGATCCATAATACAGGTTCAGTCCTGAAACCGTACCCCCATTGTGTGAATTTCACCGACGGTGCTATGCACGGTTCATCAACAGTAGTTGAGTGCAGCATCCAAACGTCATGAGAAACAGTAGTCACAGACAGCCTGGTCCACTCCTGCTGAAAGTCATCCTGAACAGGATTCACCATCTACCTCATCCTCAGAGCCTCGACGTTTAGCTCGAAAAGTGGATACCTATGCCTCTTCCAGTTCAGCACATACAGTACATGTACTTCCTGCTTCATGAATAATTTGTAAGCAAACAACGCACTACATCAGGAAAGGGAAATGTGCTGTTAACAGCCTCCGATGTGCTAAAACTGCGGATGCAGGTGAAAACTATATATCGATTTTAATATTGATCAAAATGTTATATCTGCAATGTGTGTTTGGGGAAAGGAGAGATCTGTAATACATGTAGGCTACCTTTCTCAATGAATAGTCCATTTTTTGGTATTCTTATTTTGTTTAAATTTTTGTTAATTTGCAACCCAAGTGCACATAAACTTGTTTCACAAAAATTCGTTCTCAGGTAGTAAGCTTCGAAAAGCTGCTGAACTGAACAGAGATGAATCAATTCTTGTCCACATAAGGGGAAAAGACTGCGTTGCTGTGGAAATTCACTATCATGTTGACTGTTGCCACATGCACACCAAGTTTGTGTACAATCAGGAGCTAATGGAGAGAACGGATAAAGGGTCAGGATAATACCTATACTTCTGTTGATATTATATTTCCCTCTCAGTGTACTCAAACAGCACACTTATATGTGGACAGGTATGATCGACCATAATTATTTCCCCTACATGTACATACATTTGCTCGACCCTGTGACCCTTCCCTTCCACCAAAAATATTAATAGTATGAAGTTCTGAAAAATGGTACAACAAAGGCACCTTTATCTAATGGATCTCACAGGTACGGCAATTTTGCTTTCAACAAAATCCGAAATGTGGAGAGTTTTTTCTGGCATTTGATAAACTAGTGTATATTTCTTTACAGTGTTTCAAAAGCATTCATTGTGCTCGTCACATATTTTTTTCATTTTAGTGGCAAACCCCATGATACTTCCTCCTTTGATCAATCATTCGCTGTATTTTGTGAGAGTTTTATTGAGCCAAGCATCATTCAGAAGGGTGGTGTCATGCGTTTGAATGAGCTACTGAGACTGTTCACTGAGATGGTGGAAACTTGTGAAGGAAAAGATACCTTGAATTACAGATGAAATTTTGCACTTCTAGTACCAATCTTTTAAAATTTGAGACAGACCCAGGCTTTATAAATGAAACAATGTTTTGCTTGAAAAGGTTAGCTGGGCCTATTTAACTGAACCAACAAAAATACAACTGCTTAAAAATTTCACTATAGTTTGTGGCATTTATGAAAATTTATTATTATTTATGGCACGAATGTAAAAGAGGTTTGGTTTTGATTCTCATTTCACTTTTATTTTCAGATCTCACAGACTGAAAGATTGTCTTCATTCTAAATACCCTCAGTTTATGTTTCATCGTCAAGTGAGTTTGTCTTTGTAGCAAAGGTTGATGTTGGCCCTTTGACTGAGAGCATGTAGTCATCTAGCTCAGAAAGTGAAGGCCCATCGGAAAGTGAAGCATCAAGTGTATAGAAAACACCGATTACACATCGCCCACAATCATCTCTACATCTTCTTTACTCGACAGCAATGACGTTAGGGATAGAGGAATTGAGGGCGAGGGGCAAAGTGGGCCTGCCGTGGCCTCCTTTGGTGTCAGATGTCGATCTGGCTGCAGCTGAGAAAACCGTACCTATTGCTCTATATAATGTGTTGGCATGGTCGCTAGGGTTTTCTGAAGAAGCAACATTGGAGAGCCTAATGACCATCTCAAGTGACGTGCATGTGAAGTTACTATCGCTAGCACAAGATGCGATGTATTTATTATCACAAAGCAAGGCACCAACACCCAAGTCGTGCTGCTTAGGAATGGCGCTCCACCATCTCATCACTGGTTCCCAGAGGTTGATCGATATTATATCAGGACTGGGACACTAGCTGTGTGTCATATCATACACTCATCGCCCTGGTGACAGTTCTCGCTAAAGCTGTGCTGAAGCAAGGAACTGCATTCCTGCCAAAGGGTGTCATTCCAAGTGTCTTTACGGTATTTGTGTGGGACAACATTGACATCAACCAAGAATCACCATCGGGTCATGGTACAACACATCACACTAATGGAATTGTTATACAGTATATGGTGTGCATCCAACCCAAACACAGCAACCCCAGGTCAGCCTCAAGGAAAAAGCATTGAAAAGGAATGAATCTGTCATTCTTGAGTATCATCGTCAGAAGCGCCAGGGCCCATCATTCACTTCGGCTAACTTAGAGGATTCTCAACTCAGATTTGACACTGCCTCTTCCTAAAATGTTGACGTCATGTACCGTCTGTAGAAGTTCTACCATTGTGACACTTTACCTGCATGGACAGGGTTCAATACCCAGCTTCGACACAATGATGATCTTGCCAAATCAACAATTGGATATCTTCCAGCAATTGAAGCTTCCTCAACAGACATGAACACAGTTCACACGGTTTTACGTCGAACGGTGGAGATGGCTGATACATTTACTCTTCATTTAGATGAGGTTCTTGTAGAGTTTGATCTTGCCATCTACATGAAGGCTCAAGAAATACGATGGAGCAATGACTTGTTCAAGAAAGGGCTGGTCATCAGATTAGGAGAATTCCACACAATCATGCACTTCATGGCAATCATCAGCAAACAACTTCGAAATGCAGGGTTGTTTGACGTTTGGGTAAAGTCTGGCATCATTGCTCACGGTTCGGTTAACAGTGCACTTGAGGGAAAGCAGTACAACAGGGCCATTTACGCCCACAAGATAACAAATCAGGCACTGGGCAGGCTGCAGTATGGGTCATTCATTACTACACTGTCAGAAGATGAGTGAGCCGAAGTACCAAGATTCTTCATCTATGCTGGGGATGTCTTCCCATCTGAGGCGTTTGACCGCCTAGTGAGCAGTGAAGAATTTCTGGAGGTACTTCAGATCTACGAGGCCTACGTCAAAAAGAAATGCAGTGAAAATGCGACATTTGCATTTTGGACCTCCTACCTGGCAATGGTAGAACTTCTTCAGTTTCTGCGCGCTACAAGGACACCTGACTAGAGTCTCCATCTCAGCGCATTACGCAGCATGATTTCCTGGTATTTTGCAGATGAATGTGTGCACATGCTCGCAATTTACCTGCGTACTGGCATGAAATGACAAACTTGCCAGAAACACACCCATTTGTCATGAACAGTATTGTCCAAGATAAATGGACTGTACTACAGAATAGCTATGGCTTCTCTGCTACTGCCTGTGACCAAACAAACAAACTTGTAACCGTGACACTAAATCATCAGGAGGGATCACCAAATTTTCCTTGAACAGGAATGCTATTTTTGTACTGCATTTATTTCCCCCCCAAATCCATCCAGGTGGTGTACTGTATCTTTATTATTTAACTTCAAAACTTGTTGCATAATGAATCCAAAAAAAGATGACATCAATTTAAAGATGTCTTTATCACTCAACAAAGGTTGGTTGAAGATTTGAGTTGGGTGTAGACATAAATCTGTACTCATATTTGCCTTTTGTGTCTCCGTTGGGGAATGCATCTTTAATGTTTTTAATGTACATCATGTCTCAATTAGAAACTATGTGTCTTTAATAAAGTCAAAAACTACAGGCCAGAATCAATTATAAATACATTGTACATGTGATCTGAAGAAAAAAGAAATTGTTTGTTATTTCCCCCTTTTTAAAGCTAAAATCCTGAACTTTGGAGAGGGGACCATTAAGCACGAATATCTACAAAATTGTAGCTTTATGAAAATTCCAACAAGCAGATTTGAATTCCTCATATTAGAATCTATAAAATTCAGTCATTACTTTTTAGTTCTAAGAGGGGTGCCACGAAATTCATTTTCTGAGCATAATAATCGGGGACATATCCTCGCTGCTGTTATCTTTTAATGTATAGAAATTCAGCATCTCACATTGCTTACACTTGGAAAGCTAAATATATTTTGAATTTGGACGTGGCGATTGTTTTGTTTTAAAGGGAAAACTACATCAAAAATAAAGAATTTTTAAGGTACCTCTTGGTGTGAAAGTTGGCCACTTGTGTTCTGAGGAGCGGTGCTCCCACAGGTTCTAAGTGGAGAGCATGGATGGATCGCTGGATTAGCAGAGGTAGAAGGAACATTAGAGAGGCGGACCTTGGGCGAACCTGCGCCTCAGCGGATGTCTGTCGGGCGGCTGTCATTGCCTGCATCGACAGTGGCTCAGATGCATCTGATACCCCTCAAATGTGAAGATGTAAGCAAATTGTTCTCTGCATTTTTTAACCCACCGATGCTCAAATAGAATCCATCAGCTGTATATTTAGTGGCTTTGTCCACAACCTGGAAATACAAAAGATTCCGTCTTATTCAAGTCGTCAACAAAACAGTTTGTATTTGAAAGATGTCTTCTCCACGTTACTTGTATCCTGAATTTAAGGAGGGCTTAGCAAGAAGCCCTATTGCCCTTCTTGGAAAGCAATTATTTTAGCCTTAGACAAAGATTGTTGTTGCTCACCCTTGTAACATCCTGAAGACCATGGTTGGCCTCTGATGAGTGCACTGTACCTCTGGATCAGATGGGCGTGGCTGGACGAGAGTAGGGGTACAGAGGGTTGATCGCAAGAGGATCGAATCCTGTCTGTCCAGGGATGGGCGCACTTACCATACCGCCATTCGTGGCCAGCGGGCCTGAAGTTGTCTGTATTGTGTACAAAATACAGCTTTGGTTGTGTGTTTTGCATTGTTTCAAATACTAGACATGACAGGTAGCCTAAAACAGTGACATTAAGACAAAGGACTCCAAGGAATATGGTCAGGTCAGATGTTGTTTCAGTAATTTTTATAAAGTAAAGCTAAAGAAATCCAAAAGCCAAACATCGCAGTAAAAATTTATGCTTCCAAATAAAAATTCCAAATTAACGTAAAGATAGACATTAACTATATGTATGAATTCTTGAATTGAACTTTGAAATGTCTATCGCAAGTTAAAAATAGTTTACATCTGGAATAATCCTACAATCTTTTTTTAAATTGGCCGTATCTGAATGTTCTGATATATTTTCATTCTGTTGGTATGCCTGCGTGCCAGTTTTTTTAAAACTCTTGAGCAGTTTTTTGCTTTCTACATATCACTTTAATACCGGTAATTAACCGACTTTAGCTCCTCAGCTAATCTCAGAACTGTTTATCATTGTCGCACTTTCTCATAAGAACGAAATTTCTCAGAATATACCACTTTGGTCACATTCAAAAATGTACCGCAGAGCAAAATCCTTGTCTTACACACGCGTGCTCAATAAGAACAAAGGCGGGGTGAGTGTCACCGAACACCGCGTGGTAACGGGAGCTCTTTTGAAAACTCGTGCGTGTGATCATGAGGTAACAATTTGGAAGGTTTGTGATGTCACGCACCAAGGGGTGAAACGTATGCACGCGTGTGCTTAATTAACACACAATCACTGCAAGACAGTTTTTTGCATACAGAAAGTTAGGCCAAGTTCGTAGTTAGAGCATCTGTGATTTTAAACAACGGCTATAAAATGTGGCTCCAACCAGGATAATTAACTTTAAGAAGAGGGAGCTTGTTTTCAATACAATTTGAAATTAGGTCAGTTTTGAGAGACAGAATTCAATCGTGATGCTGGTAATGATGGGCAGAACACTCTAATCAGTTGCAACCATCTGCATAGGCATGAGATTGACAAACACAATTTTGAGCCCATGTCAGTAACAACTCTCATCTTGCTCAGTAGTGGTAATACTTGTCCAAACAACACAGGGGTCCGCCCAAGCGCGTAAGATCTTGTGATTCAACTGCGGATTGGACATTATTTTGCCGAATCAAGAATTCCGTCTATCAGTTTTCTTCTAATTGCAAAACTGGTCCCTGACGTTATCGAAATAACGAGCATCTTCAGAGTTAATTAAAATAACACTAGCTCCCGGTTTAAGAAGATTATTCAGAGAGCATTGAAAAGGTGTCCAAATCTGCAACTGCTTCATCCTCACTAAAATCGGCATACAATTCTTGGTGAGCTTTATTCCTTGGCAACACGATGATGAGAAATTTTTTGCCAAGCCGCCCAACTCGCTTCTGAGCCAGCTGCTTAGCGCAATTGCCAATATAGAAAGATATTTTCATTCCGCGGGCCAAGGTACGGGGTGGGGGTGATACCAGGTCAAAATAAACGCTGCCCTTAGGTTGTACCCCAAAGTCGTGGTCACTAATGTGGAAAATATATTTCTGATCAAACTCAGAAATTTTCATATATTCATAAAACCTGAAGAGCTTTTTGAGATCTGTCCGTATATCGAAGTTGACCTAGTTATATCCAGCATATACTTCCCCTGATAAGGATTTTTAAGTGTTTACTTTAATAAGGAAACAGTGATGGCTGAATACACGGTAGATGGGCTGTTGTCCTCTGTAGATGTAAGGCCAATATATTTTTAACCAAAATGCTAGAAAGCAAAAGTAAGTGGGAACCTTGCGTTCTACAATATTTAGCTAGCTTTCTAAAACCGCAAACACAATCTTCAGCTCATCTCAAGAAAACATTTTTGTAAAACTTGTAATTAGCACCTCTCTACTGGAAATCGCAGATTACTTTGATGCCACAGTATGGCACACGAGCGCTGGTTTCCGCCATACCCATGTTTCTCTGCACCTTTTTTGCGTTTTGTGATGGCTTGTGTGTGAGACAGAGGACATAATGAGCTAAAAAAGCAAGTGATTCGGAACCAGATTTGATTTTTACCGTTTTGCTTTGAAGAAATTCCTCATTTGAATGAATTTGCTGGCTAAAGAAATTAGTGTTTGTTGGTCGGAAGACCTAAGTATTATTTTAATATCAGAATGTGGGACGACCGCAAATAAAGTTCCATGACTGGCTGCCATTTTGTGTGACTAATACTTGGATTCCTCTAAAAGGTCATTGCAAACATTTCCCCTGAAAACTACATAAATTCGTCAGTTGCATGACAAAGTGACGTATAGTGTAATTCGACCACCAAAATTAGAAGCCATTACTGGCACAACGCTCGTGGACAGCTGGTACGCGCGCGTTACATGCCTCTTCCACCAATAGGGTGTCATGATTTGCCAAACGCACGCGCGCGTCAAGCTGAAGAATGTGCGTGTGAGTGCGGTGCCACCGCAGTTAGGGCTTCTTATCGGATTAGACTATGTGATGTTTATATGTTTTATGTGTTTTTGTGTACCGTCCATGGACTCTGTACACATGATGCGACGGTTCGTAGGGAAGCAGCTATCAACAATACATCAGTTCGTGATGCAACTGACGAGTTTTGTTTCTGATGAGTACATCAATGTTTAATACACCCTTTTAAATCGATTCCCCCCCCCCACCATATACTGTCATAGTCCAGGTGTCGTCTGTGACATCAATAGCGCCAAAATAAAATTTGGCTTGGTGTATAATGGCCGAACTATTACCCAAAATACTTCCATAATGTTCAGTTGATGCTAAGTAATACACTTTTTTTCATTGAGTTTAACCCCCCATCCAAAAGTCGTCAGAGTAGAGCTTGAATGTAGACCAAGCTCGGCGAAATGTTGAAAACCAGTACTGTGATAGATGATTTTCTGAAACCGGTGTCACAGAGAAATTGGACTATATTTTAATACGACACTTTTCCTTGATATATTCTGGTGTCCCATACCAGTGTTGGGAGTTATTGTTTGGTGCGTCTGGCTTTGCGCAGTGTGGTTGGTAAGTCCATATTTCATAGAGGCCAAATTTCGTACCACATCGCCCCAGTCCGCGCTTTTTGAAGGTGAAGGATGGCTGCTGTTTTTCAAAATACATGTACTTGAGGCAGAATTTGAGCTTTTTTGCAGATAAATAGTCTCTAGATATACAAATGTGTTGTTTTGGGAAACTTGGGAAGAAATTGGAAGAGAGTTTTTATCTCCAAAAGTCATTGAAAGTCCTACCATAAACCTGCTCCTTGGGAAAGCGTCTTTGCATAACATCTCGTGTGACTTGACCCTGTTGGAATCAAAATGTTTCATTTATTATTAAAACTATCCTTTCTAGGTCATATTTGCGCTTTACCCATCCCTTCATCCTGCACTGTCATGCCTGCAAATCTGGCGCCAAACAAAGGCGCCCTCTATTGACGTAACTTCTAGCACTCACCATTCACCTAATCTAATAATCTATTTGTGTGATTCACAATAGAGCCTGAAATTGAAAGGTCACTCGGTAAGCTTCCGGAAACCTCGCGCTGTTCGCGTTTGGGGATTTTACATGGGGCCGTCCTATCACATTTGATTATTTTTGGAAGAATGATTCCTAACTGAAACCACCCCATGAAACACTCATGTAGGAATTTCCCCTTTGTCCTCGTCAAGTAATTATTGAGGAAAAGTCACCTGGAGATGGGTATAAAACGAATTTCGTCAACGACCTTTCACTTCCAGCAGTATCGTTCCTAGGTCCCCTTGTTTATGCACGTTTGTTTTCATTCCCCGTGCTTACGTGGAAACGAGATTGTACAACGTTGCAAAGATTTACCTACTTGCAGTCGATGGACTCTAGATTCAGTCGAGTTGACCTGGCACAGTTCTTGTCAGTAAGGGTGCACTGAACCAATTCAAGCTCCATTGAAAATAGTGTAAAATCAACCAAGTTTGGAGCCCCATGGCAGGCAACTGAAGTCCCTGAGGCCTCTCAAACAAAAAACGAAGTGTTGTTTGGTCCTTCAGGTTTCATTTGATTTTCAATTTTTAGTAGGTTAACGAATGAATTTTTTAATTATCCGCCCAAAACAAACTCATACCCCCAAAAAGTGAATGTTGCC